GGTCGAGGCCGGAAACGTCAGCCTTCCTGCTCCTATGATGCTGCTTGGCCTGCTGTGTTCATCCAGCTCTGCACCTTGTTATCTCAGATTTTCCAGCATCTGCAGTTCCTACTATCTATGATATCTTTTCAGTACAGTCTTTTGACTTTCTTCCAACTCATGTTACTCCATATATCTATTGTACCATATCCCAATTCATCAGCAGAAATCAAATGCACTTTGAACTTTGATTTCTTATTGATCTTTTCTTCTGTGGTTTTGATTAGACTAAAATGGGAAAAGGACTGTTTTAAAATTGATAATTGTGGAAGGGATTATTGCACATTTTAAAAGCAAGTTACCTATACTTATTTTAAGAAGTGTTTACACTGCTGCTTGTTCAACCAGTAGGGGAACGTCAGTTGCAGACAAACTGGCATCGGAGGCAAGTACAATGCGGAATTCGCTTGGCGACAAGTGGCTGATTGATCTGTGGAATCTCAACCAGTTATCGATGACAAAAGTCTACAGCTTGAAAAACTATGTCATTGCTCCTTGGTAGCTAACCGTCGTGTGGGTGAAAATAGTACGGCCAGAAATCTTCAGACCTTGGAAGGGGAGGGGTGTCTTTCTCTCTGTTCAGTAAAAATACCTAAAGCTTGAAGAATGCCAGCTTATTTTTAATCATCAGTTGCTGCAAGCTATAATTTGAAACGAGTGATTAAGAGCATGTTGTAATTTGTGAACTAGTTGCTCTGTGCCTCCTGCAAGAAAACGAAAAGTACCTGGAGAAGAGAGATGGCGTCCTGATAAGCGAAACAATCATCTCATGAAACCCTGTGAATAGGGGCCATTGAACTACCTTTCCAGTTTTCCCTCCAGCTATAACATTTTTTCTGTTCTGTTAGTGTCTACCTCTACGTCTGAAGGTGAAGCGTTAGAAGATGGTCAGAATTTTAACTAGTGGAGTTATACATCAATGATTCATTGTTTTTGTAGCTAGTAATTATTAAGTACAGAAATCTTGCTTATTCTTTCTGTTAATCTGGAGCTAAAAAGACAGGTAAATTGGTTAATTCTGCATACTTTGATAAAATCCTTAACTTTTGTGATAACTCCGGGAGCAGCTTGATTTACAGCACACTGCCCAGTGAGGTGTAACATTACTTCACCTTTTTTTTGTTCCTTTTCAGGAGGATATTTGCTGAGTGTTATAGTTATTCCATCATCGAGGACAGCAGAGAAAGATCTACACTTGCTGATGGAGACTTGTGCTCTTTCTTCCTCTGTAAAGATTAGATCATTAGAGAATTAAATAATTAATGAAAAACAGAACAGGTAAACTTTTGCCAATGGTTGCCCAACACTTTACCCTTCAAGTTACTCAGATATAAAATTTAAAATGATTCTACTTTACATTTAAATAATTATTTTACTACCATTTTATCATGGTACAACAGGGCAATGATGCTGTGGTGCTGTCAGCACTGCAGTATAAAGGCAGCACTGAACAGGGATGATTTTGTGCAATAATATGAAATCAGTTTATTTAAATATTTTTCTAGCTCTTTAGGTCAATCTCACATAATACTGAGAGCTTCCTGGGGGACTTCCTGGGGACTTGAAGGTTGACAGCCAATCAAGTCCAGAATATTTTTTTCTTCAATGTGCTCAGTACTGAAGTCTCTGAGGAACTGACCACTGAAAATCAATGTTGGAGATTATCTTGGAACAACCACTGTAGTCTTATCAGAACTGCAAATGAAATCATGTTCACTCAGTTTCATTGATGAGGTAAGATAAATTTTGAGGAAGTTTGGGCATCAAATGAAAGCTTGTGTCTAAGTTTGCATGGCCAGACACTAAGGAGAGATGGTATTGATATAACTAGAGCAACTATTTGTATTTATGTAGCAACTTAGCTGTAGGAAAACATTAAGTGCTTCACATGAGGAAAAATGGACTCAAGCTAAAGAAAACATTGAGTGAAATGCAGTTCTTTGCAGGTGAGGCCCAACATTTCGAAGGCTGTGCTACCTGCCCAGTGTTAGGGTTTCAGACATTTGCTCTGGGCTAGAGAGAAATTTATAGTGGGAGAGGCATAATCCAAAGGTTTTAAAAATAGGAAGTGCTAGAGAAACTCAGCAGGTCTGGTACCAAGGTAGACAAACAGGAGGCTGGAAGAACACAGCAGAGGAAAGGAGCAGTCAATGTTTCGGGTATTAACCTTCTTCAGTCCTGACGCTGCCTGGCCTACTATGTTCTTCCAGTCTCCTGTTTGTCTACCTTGGATTCCAACATCTGCATTTTTTTTTTGTCCTTAAATAGGTCTGGCACCACCTGTGGAGAGAGAAACAGAATTAACATTTCACGTTTGATATTGGATTTGAAATGTTAACTCTCTCCTCTAGATGCTGTATTTTTTAAAATTTCAGATTTCCAGCATCTGCAGTATTTCACTTTAAATTGAGTGATCCAATGGTTGTTGTCCACATAGATACCATCAACATAGGTAAGTCTAGTAAAGAGGTTCTGCTTAGATAGTATTAGCTAAAGTAGGGGAGTACAAAATTAGAGAGTTAAACATGTGGCTCAAATACTGGTGCGTGAAAAATGTGTTTCAATTAATTGAGCACATTGGCACAGATAAGGGACAATGTAAAACCTCTACCATTGAGTTGGTTTTCACTTGAACTGTGCTGGGACCAGTCTTCTGGTGAGTTGCCTAATGAGACAGTAGAGAGGACCTTAAAATAATTTGTGAAGCTGAGGGATCAAGAGGGGGATGTTGTGGTAAGTTAAAAAAAGAAGATAAAAAGAAGAAATCAAGGTAGCAATAAGTGACATTATCATCAGTAGGGACAGAACATATGAACTTGCACTGGCAGATAAGGCTAGATGTCTCAAAAGTTGTAAAAAGACGGAACTAAAGGCTCGGTATCTGAATGTGGGTAGTGTTCCTAATGAAACGGATGAGTTGGCAGCTTAAGTGTGAATGATCTGATAGTTATCACAGTGACATTGCTACAAAATGAGAAAGGTTGCGACCTGAATGTTCAAGGTACACGACAATTCAAAACGATAGGAAACTGAGAAAAGGTGAAGATAAAACTCTATTAACTGAGGAGAAAGTAGCCTTGGTTCTAAAGATCAAGATGTACAGTTATTCTACATAGAGATAAGAAATAATACAAATTGGAAGTCACATTTGGGAGAAATTTATCAGGCCCTCTAAAAATAACCATATTGTAGGATGTGGTAGAAGAAATAAAGAGAGCTTATAACAATGGTACAATAATAATCATACATCATTTTAATCTACATGTAAATTGGATGAATTGGGTTGTTAAAGATAACCTGAAGGATGAGTTTTAGAACAGTTTCTTAGAGCAGGACATTCTAGAGCCAGACAGCAGGGTGTTCCAGATCGGATTATGCGCAAGAAGTCAGGTTTAATTTATGACCTCATAATAGAGGCGATTTTACGTAACAGCAATCATAATATGACTGAATTTTGCAACCAGTTTGATGGAGAGCAGGTGATCTAAGATTAGTGTTTAAACGTAAAGAAGGGAAAATATGGGATCGGACATAATATTTAAAAAAGAAACGGCAAAGAATGACAAAAGATTAACAAAGTGGGAGAATTTAGAATACTACATAAAGCTAACTAGAAATATAAAACCAGATGATAAAACTTTGTACACGTATTTAAAAAGGAAAAGAGTAAATAAAGTGATTGTTGATCCTTTAGTGAAGGTAACTGCTTTGGACTCAAAAACTGCATTTCTACAAATGCAAAGTGAAACACACAAATTGCAATTGATTTTCTTGTAGTATAATTGAATTGTTTCCATTAAAAGCTGAAGTATTAAAAGCACCCATAATATTTCTTTCCTACCTGTGTCAGACATTGCAGACCCTCCTTTTTCTGACGGAACTGCTTCACTGTAATCTAAATATTTTATGGGATCTTTGATGTAGGTGAAGAATTGATGCTTGTCCTTCATTACACAGACCTGAATAATTGTTGAACCTATTGTAACAAGAAAGAAGATACTTTCTATCAATTTTGGAAGAAATGTCAGTTTACATTGAATCAAAGTATATCTGACAAACAAGCAAAACTTCTTTGAAATCACTGTTTCAAGCTGACCCAGTGTTGTACAATAGAATTTCCAGGTATGGTTGGTGGAAGATCAGAGGAAATGTCTTTGAAGTGGCTGGCTACACTATTTTTCTTCAGCAGAAATGACCAAATATGGGGTTGGATATCAGGTGAAGGGGATATTAGTATACAGTGGGCAATTAGCCAAGAAGCTAGTTGAACTTCATGTAGCCAGAAACAATGCTTAAATGTCAGAATTTTAAAGAATTTGAACAAGTGCAAGTTTAAATTCAAAGTATATGCCAACATAGCCCCTAACAGGGACATCTCAGCATAGTACATGATGCTTGAACTGACATACACTTGTAGATGTTTCAGCTGAACTATCATGGCTTCTTCAGGTATACTGTAATTGGTTGCTCTGTTACTAAGCCCTTTAAGTTGCTCTGTATTTTGCTCACCCTATGTAAGACTGCAGCAAATCAGATGGTTTCAGAACTATAAGAACTATAACTGACATCATTATCTTAGTCTGGTAATTTCAATGCTGAGAACACAAGAGACCGCAATATACTGACTTCACTGATCCCCTCACTAAGGCATTCTAAGGCATTCCCACCAAAGGTGCTTCCGCGACAATATCATAGCTATGATCAATGGCGTTGGAACCATCTGTGATCCACAGCAGAGTTAATTTTCAACATTGTCAGGTGGATGCAGTGTAGTAGCCATACTGGGACAACTAGGCTTGGGATGGACAAGTTCTGGAATTTTCAGTCCTACATTTGGGATGCTGGCTCATTAAAAGTAGGAGGCAAAACAATGCTGAGACCATATATACCATGTTACGAGTTAACCTATAATATTTATGCAATGATACTTTAGGACCATTTTAACTAGATCTAACACTAACGATGACCTGTTTCAAACAAAAGGGTTAATGATCATCTATGCTACAATTTGTAAATATTTGTACATTAAAGATTTAAAACAAAGGCTAAACAGAGGATTTGACACACGATATGAATCTTGATATTCTCTAAATGTATTTGCTCAGAAGCTTAAAAATAACTGAATTTGTCCCCATGCATTTCACAGATCATATACTTCAGCAGCTTTGATGTGGAGGTGCTGGTATTGGACTGGGGTGGACAAGGTCAGAAATCACACGAGACCAGGTTATAGTCCAACAGGTTTGTTTGAAAACACAAGCTTTCGGAGCCTCACTCCTCCTTCAGGTGTTAGTGAGAAAGGTAGTATCAGACACAGAATTTATAAGTAAAAGATCAAAGGTCACACCACTGATGAGGACGTATTAAACAAGCCTAAGATACTGTTAAATCTTTGATCAGTCAGGAGGTTTTAATTTATTGATACGTATATGTAAATCCTCAGAATCCTTTCAAGTCACTGTCCTGACAGAATTAAAATTTTTATCAGTGTAAAGAAGAGGTGACATTTTAGGTCAGACAATGCATGTTTGGTGTGAGGCCTTGTTTAGATTCTGTTTATGTTTTTGTTTGGAGTTAGACTGGTTTTATTTCTAAAGTAAGAATTTATAAAATGCCACATTGATTGGTGAAGAGATAACACAGTATGGAGCTGGAGGAACACAGCAGGCCAGACAGCATCAGAGGAGCAGGAAAGTTGACGTTTCGGGTTGGGACCCTTCTTCAGAAATGGGGAGGGGGAAGGGAGCTGGGAAATAAATAGAGAGAGGAGGGGTGGAGCTGGGGAAGGTAGGTGGGATGGTGATAGGTGAGTTGACCCCCCTCACCTCCATTCAAAACCCAAAACAAACTTTTCACATCAGACAGGGGTTCACCTGCACATCTGTTGACTTGGTCTACTGTATCCGCTGCTCCCGATGTGGCCTCCTCTACATCGGTGAGACCAAGGTCGACTCGGAGACTGTTTTGTAGAGCATCTGCGCTCTGTACTCAAGAAACGACAACACCTTCCAGTCGCCAACCATTTTAACTCACCGTCCCACTCCCTGGGTGACATGTCCATCCTGGGCCTGCTCCAGTGTCATAATGACACCAGCTGTTAACTGGAGGAGTAACACCTCATATTCTACTTTGGCAGCCTACAGCCTGATGGCCTAAACATGGAATTTGCCAGTTTTAAAATCTCCCCACCCCCAGCCTCATTCCATGTCTAACCTTCCCTCTCATCCCCGCCTCCTTGACCTGACACAACCTGTCCACCTTCTCTCCCATCTATCCACCCGTCCCACCTCATTGACCAATCCCTATCTGCACTCATCCATCACCATCCCACTTACCTTCCCTAGCCCCACCTCTCCTCTCTCTATTTATTTCTCAGCTCCCCATTTCTGAAGAAGGTTCCCGACCTGAAACATCAACTTTCCTGCTCCTCTGATGCTGCCTGGCCTGCTGTGTTCCTCCAGCTCCACACTGTATTGCCTCTGATTCCAGCATCTGCAGTTCTTGCTATCTCACATTGACTGGTGAATTCGTATTTGCAGATACATTCTGTTTTATTCAAAAAGCACACTATTTCTAGTCAGTCAATGTGGCGTTTTACAAATTCCTACTTTAGAAATAAAACCAGTCTAGCGGTGGCATGGTGGCTCAGCGGTTATCACTGCTGCCTCACAGCGCCAGGGACCCGGGTTCGATTCCGCCCTCGGGTGACTGTCTGTGTGGAGTTTGCACGTTCTCCGTGTGTCTGCGTGGGTTTTCTCCGGGGTGTTCTGGTTTCCTCCCACAGTCCAAAGATGCGCAGGGTAGGTGGATTGGCTATGCTAAATTGTCCACAGTGTTTAGGGATGTGTAGCTTAGGTGGGTTATAGGGGATGGGTCTGGGTGGGATGTGCCAAGGGTTGGTGTGGACTTGTTGGGCCAAAGGGCCTGTTTCCACACTGTAGGGATTCTTTACTATAATAACTCCAAACCAAAACAAAAATGGATTCTAAACAAGGCCTCACACCTAACATGCATTGTCTGATCGAAAATATCACCTCTTCTTTACACTGATAAAACCTTTAGTTCTCTCAAGGACAGTGACTTGAAAGGAATTTGGGGATTTACATATACGTATTAATCAATTAAAACCTTCTAACTGAATAAAGATTTAACAGCATCTTAGGTGTGTTTGATACATCCTCATCAGTGGTGTGACCTTTTGCTCTTTTCCTTATAAATTCTGTGTCTGATACTACCTCTCTCACTAACACTTGAAGGAGGAGTGAGGCTCCAAAAGCTGGTGTTTTTAAATAAACCTGTTGGACTATAACCTGGTGACATCTTATTTCTAACCTTCAGCAGCTTGACAGTCTAGTAGTTATCAAGGCTGTAATAAACTTATTTAACTCTGTAGATTTCATTCATTGCAGGCCAATTTATGGTTTATCAAATAGTTACCATGCAAAAACTGTATGGTTTTCACTTGAATGTGCCCTCCATCAGATGGGAATAGAGACTTGACTTCACCAGAGACTCGAATTAAATCATTTCCAAAATTGTAGCCAGTAAACTGCAAATAAATAGCACAGGTAATGGTCAATGAATTTGGAACAAAGGGCACTTGTGTAGTTATGAATATGAAAATTAATTTAGGTAGGGTTGTGTTTTGAAAAGGTACATGTTTTTAAATACTGGTAAATGGAATATTTTTCTTCTGTGTTACAGGAGGTCAGAAATTCTGTTTCTGTTGGTGGCATTACCTGGGTTGTTGGAGGAAGAAAAATCTGGTGATGCAATTCAACAATTCATGTCACCATGTCACTTCTAGAATTTTCTGCAAAAAGTGATGTTGAGGGTATGACATGTTTAGTAATGGCTAGGTATATTTTAATAAGATGATTATGCTACACATTTCCCATCACTTCTGTCTCAGTAATACGGTGTATAAATAATACGAGAGCAATGATAGCACCCATCACTTAGGGCCATTGGTGGAAAACTAGAAGTCAGTTAAATTAAAAGTCTGTGCATTATGAGAGAAGGTTGACATGCAAGTACAATTGTTACTTGCAGTAATTTGGAAATGTGCAAAGTAAAATTCAAGGTCTGAAGGGATGTCTATGAAGCATTTCAATACATATATTCATAAAGTCATTCTTACTGCAATTGGAATATATCAAGGAGAATGTAAATATTCCTCAGATTTATGTTGGAAGCCGTTCTAACAGAGAGATACTCTTCTTGAATGCTCAAACCGCTTTGGCAGAGACCTCAGGCTGTAAGGTAGAGGAATAAAAACAGAAAATATGGAAAAACTTAGCAGGTCTAGCAGAATCTGTAAAGAGAAAAACTGGTGTTTTGAGTCCTATGACGTTTTGTCAGAACGGAACAGGGCTAAAATATATTGGTATTTATGTTGTTGGCAAAGGAAAAGGAGGAACGAGTAGAACAGATGGTCAGGATACCATAACCAAAAGTCAAAGTGAGTGCTAATGGTAGTAAATGACTGATCTCAATGAAAAGACAATAGGTGTTTTAACGACACTTGTGCACTGTGAAAAATAGGTTAGTTTTGCTAAGAACAAACCGAGCAAACAAAACATAGGGGGTATGGGGAAGGGATGAGGTAAACAAAATGGAGGACAGCGTTCTCGTCTGAAGGTGTTGAACTCAATGTTGAGTCCTGAAGGCTGTAAATTACTTGGTCAGAAAATATAGTGTTGAATTTCCAGCTTGGATTGGGCTTTACTGGAACATCATAGCAGACACGGGAAAGAAATGTTAGCACGGGAGCAAGATGGTGTTCTGAAATGATAAGCAACTGGAAGGTTCCTATAAATGGAGCAGAGGTGTTCTGCAAAGTGGTCACCTAGACTATGCTTGGTTTAACCAATGAAGATGAGACCACATTGTGAGCAGCAAATACAGTAGCATGGATTGAAAGAAGCACAAGTTAAATGCTGCTTCAACTTGACGGTGTACTTGGGGCCCCAAGCAATGAGGCCGGGCAAAGTAAAAGGGAAATTGTTACACATTCCATGAATGTATGGGAAGATCCCATGGGTGAGGGGACCGCTGGCAGCGGGGCATGGGTGAGGAAGTGGCTTTAACTGGTGGTAGGAAGCATTGCTTTTATCTACAGTACACTAAAATATTTGCCCAACTTCAAAGTGATGGGGATCCAATGGAGACAGCAATAATGCATACAAAGTGATAATCTAAGAATTTTTAAACCTTGAAACTTTTAAAGGCTTTCAGAATCTTCAGTTAGCACTTCTAGACAACTAATGCTGCAGCAAAGTCCCATAAAATCCTTGTTTTCCCACCTGAGATGCAGCCCTCCTGCACTATAAATTACCTCAGTGCTCACCCTCAATATTGTAATTACACAGCCCAAGACTTGACTTGGTCAGCAGAGTAATTTACAGGCAGCCAGAAATCCTGCCTCCCGTTATTTGTGTGAGGACTGAGATCTGAACAGAATTCAACTGACTTGTTCACAATAAGTACTTCCGTACACTTAACTAGGCTCCACTACCTTGCGTGGAAAATCAGATTCTGATTTTCTGATCAGTAGATTCAGAAAAAAAAAATCCCTGCACTTATTCCTCAATTGTGCCATTGATCTTGGGTGAATCTACTCTATCTTCTTTTGTTAAACTGCAATAAAGCTTAGTCATTTTGTCTCCAGGTCTGGGTGTTAAAATTCTGGCAAATATAAATAAATATAACAAACCTGGTAGAATTTCTCAGTCGGCTCTGCTGTTTCCTGAATATGTGGTTCAGTCTCTGAAATGGTTTCTTGCTCTTCTTTGATGATTTGACTTTCCTGTTTCGTTGGCTTCTTTGATAATCTTCTTGATTTGGAGTCTGTTTGGTGAACAGTTTCTTCCTTCTTTTTGCTACTTGGTCTCTCTTTCTTGCCTTTTTTATCTTGCTTTCTTTGTTCCTCCTCTTTCATCTTATCCTGGTCTTTCTTCCAAGCCTAGGAACCAGGATAACCAGAATACTTTAAGAATGTATAACACTGAAATGCTTAATCCTGTAATTCACATTGTATTGTACAGCAAAGTGCAGCAACTATCTGTCCAATTTTTACTGCATGAGAAATCTTGGATTTAACTTATTTAAAACTTGTTGGACAGGACAAAGAAACATACAAGACAAGCAACTGGCAAGTTATATTATGAGGTAAAATATTGAAATTGCTGGGGGCGTATGAAAAAATACTGGTAAACACAAAAGTTCTGTTTTTAAAGTTGGGATACTTTAAAAGACAGTACCACATATAAGACTTTAAAGCACATTAGAAAGGAAACTGAAATCTGAAAGTTCTTTGAGATGACATAAATATGATTCTTGAAACATGTGCACAAATATGTTGACATTACTTTAGTGGGAATTCCTAAAAGTAACTTATGAAAACTATTTAGGACAGAGATGAAAAGTGGTCAGCCCCTGTAGAATTTGCTGGCACAGAAAGCAGTGGAGGCCAAAATATTGTACGCTTTCAAGGAGGAGTTGGATACAGCACATGGAGCTAAAGGGACCAAAGGATATGGGGAAAAGGCAATAACATGTTATTGAATTGGCTGATCAGCCACTATCATAATGAATGGCAGAGCAGGCTTGAAGGACCGAATGGCCTACTCTTTCAACTTTCCATGTTTCTGAAAGGCTCAAATACTTGTCAAATTCAACACTCTGACTATCAATGATAAACTATACTTTCTGTACAAACAAAACATTGAGTACTATTCAGCAGAAACTGAACTAGACTTTCTACTTAAATACAGTGACTAAAAGGGCAGGTCAGAGGCCAGACATCCTGCAGTGAATAACTTATCTCTTGCCTTCCCAAAGCTTGTCTTCTTTCTACAAGACGAGGCAGGAGTGTGATGGAATACTCCCCATTTGCATAGATGAGGCAGCTCCAACAACTTTCAAGAAACTTAACAAATTACAGGATAAAGTAGCCTGATTAACTGGAACCAAATTGACACAACCATTCACTCCCTCCACTACCTATGGTCAGTAACAGCAGTGTGTACCATCTCCAAGATGCACTGCAGAAATTCACCAAAGATCCTTAGATAGCACCTTTCAAATTCAGGACCACTTCCACCTATAAGGACCAAGGCAGCAGATACATGGCAACACCACTAAATGCAAAGTTTCCTTTAAGCCATTCACCATCCTCAATCAGAAACAAACCGCTATTCCTTCAATGTCGCTGGATCAAAATCCTGAAATTCCTTCCTTAATGGCATTCCAGGTGTACCTACAGTGCATGTTTTGGAGCAGTTTCAAAAGATGGCTCACCACCAATAGCAAGGGCAATATTTGTTGGCCCAGCAGCCATGCTCATATCTCATGAATGAATTTTTAAAGATGAATTAAATAAAAAGAGCAGCAGTGGGTTGAGAAGGCATTGCAAATATGTAGAATTCATTCAGCAAATGCTTATTTAAACATAATTCCAACATAGTGCCTGGGATGAAGCTATCAGGAAAGTGTGAGAAAATTGCTGAACCTTGTGGCTGTGAACGTCAATGGATGTATTCCTGATTAGCTGGACTTCACTTGCATAAAATGCAGTTGTATTCCCCTTCCAGTTAAGTAAAGTCTGGCAATGTAAAGATGAATCTGAAGAATTTCCTACTTAATAAGTTTACATTAATAACTGGATTTCATATGAAAATTCAGCTATCAACTAATACTAATCTAAATTCTTCAGTATGAGAATCATCTAAGACAATTTCACAAAAATACAAAAGTCAATTGAATCAGTGAGGGGGGGGCGGTGTTCCAATATTAATTTTGGAAAGATACTGATGGAAAAAAAATCACAGTCTTTTGCTGATTACAGATGTAAAAAAAGATTCAGCGTTCTTACTTCAAACTTGGGTATCTGTCTTTTAGTTTTCCCCATAAAATGTAATCTTGGTTAGAAGATTAAGAAAAGCATTTAGTACAAAATTTGTTAAAGGCTTTGGGCTGCAGATAACTGACGTGAGCAGAACATTTGGTATTTAATAACTGCAAATGAATGTGATTTTTGGTGTTGAGTTGATCCTGGAGAAGGAACAGTAGAATTGGATAGAAGGAAAATAGAATAGGTTAACAGAAAGACTCCGTATAGCCCATAAAATCCATGTCAGCTCAATGCAAGAGCAATTTAGCGAATTACCCTCATTTGCCTGTGACCCAACAATCTACACAATACAAATACTTAGCTAATTCTCTCACAAAAGCCATGTTTGAATCTGCCTGCACCAGTACTCTCAGGCAGAGTATTTCAGGCCTTATTCAGAAAATAAGTTTTTCGAAGTGTCATCTTTATTTCTTTTGCCAATCACAACATCTTTATTCTCGTTTTCAACTTTTCTACCAACTGAACAGCTTTGCCCTGTGTACTCTGCATCTAGACATTTAATGACTTTGAACACCACTACCAATTCTCCTTTCAACATTCTGTTCTCTAAGGATCTGTTTGGTAGAGAAACACAATCTGTAACAATGTTACCTGGTTTGCTGTAGTCATGTGACCTCTAGCCTAAGGCACAGAAGCAGCCGGTTTCGATAAAATCACAGTACAGGCCAGGCTATTGTCTTGAGAGCTCAAAACATGAAATAAGAAGTAGAGACAACACAGTTTGGAGATGGCGGAACACTGCTGGCCAGTCAGCATCAGATGAGCAGGAAAGTCGATATTTTGGATTGGGACCCATCTTTCCTGTCCCGAAACGTCAACTTTCCTGCTCCTCTGATGCTGCCTGGACTGCTGTGTTCATCCAGCTCCATACTGTGTTGTCTCTGACTCCAGAATCTGCTGTTCTTGCGATCTCTAACTCAGAAGTAGAGCTGAGATTGAGTGTCGAAGAGCTGTTAAAATTCGCAGCTACTGACTGAGATACAGGAATGTTCAGAGTTGTGAAAGCTGCTACAAGCAACCAAGAAAAAACTAAAGAAAAGCAAAGAAACAGGCCACAACAAAAACAGTGGGTAAGATATAATGACTGCAATTTTTCATTTCCCAGCACCAGTCCTGTGGAAAAATTATGAAGCAAAGCACAGAAAATGCTAGAGAAACTTGGCAGGTCTGGCAGCATTTGTGGAGAGAAAAAGAGTTAACAGAAGAGTCACTGGATTGAAAGTGTTAGCTCTGTTTTTCTCTTCACAGTTGCGACCAGATCTGTTGAGTTTTTCCATCACTTTCTGTTTTTGTCTCAGATCTCCAGCATCTGGAGTTCTTTGTTTTACTTTGGGTAAAAATTATGAAACTGTCACAGATCTGCTTGCCAAATGAGAGCAGCTACACATTTATCATTGTTTCAAAAGTATATTCCATTTGCACACAAATGTATGGCCAGAAGGAAGCATAGCAAATAGATACAGATGGCCAAAGATTCTTACAAATCATTTTGCATCATTTTGAACCAATAAGAGATTGGTTCAGTCAGGTCTATAAGTGGTCTTGGTTTGTGATAATTGTAATTATGTAGGAGAATATCATGTCAACATAAAGTATCATACAACGCATGGCCTTCACAGACCTATGCAAAGTGGCTCAATATGGTGATCCAAAACTTAAGCCCACAAAAGTAATGTTGAGGCTATATGATAGAACTAGACTTGTGCCACAAGTGAACCAATTACACTGAGAGTCCAATGCAATAACAAGAACAAAGCCCTGGAGTTCCATATCATAGATAGCAAGCAAAAGTCACTCATTTCAGCCAAAGCAAGTCTAAAGCTTGGACTGCTAACCCTCAATGTGACAAAGCAGGTTTACAATGTGTTACAGCACGTTAAACCATTGACCACAAATCACTCTTGGAGTACAACAATGTGTTCAGAGTTAGGACGTCTTCCAGAAGAACATCATTTCAAAATAGATGAGACTGTAACCGCAATTCAGGATCTGCTGAGGAAAATTCCAGCTGCCCTCAAGGCCAGCCTGAAAGACAAGATAGGACAACTGCAAAAGCAGGAAAGGGACAACTCCTCCAGAATGGATTAGCAGCATGTTAGCTGTGAAGCCATCTGGAATGTTGAAACTATGCATCAATCCATAAGAACTAAATAAAACTCTGAAGGGATCTTACTATCCCATGTCAACTAAGGAATTTTGCCATAACTTGCAAAGGCAAAAATATTCACTAATCTAGATGCAAAGGGTGGTAAATGGTAAGTAAAGCTGATGACAGCAGCAACTTTCCAAACGCATTCTGGATGTCCTTCAGGAGATGTAGATAGTTGTACATGCTGTTTGGTATTTCCACTGTTCCAGAGGAGTATCAATGCAGAGGACATGAGATAATTCATGATTTTCTCACAGTGGAAGCTGTAATGGATGATCTGCTAGTTTATGGGTGCTCGTGGGACAATAGTTATGGTGTAGTCCAAGACATTGTATGTAAGGCATGATTTTATGAGTACAACCATTTCAGACTGCTGCTTGACTAGTAAGGAGGACTTTGCAGGGTTGATGGAGCCGACTTTGCCATTATATTTCTGGTCACAAAGTTGATGCTAAGTGGTTTGATAATTTCATCCCTTTTTTGGGACTTTTTAGCGATTAGATACACTGAGTGGTTTGCTTGGCCATTTCAAAGAGTGTTTAAGAGTCAACCACATTACTGCGAGTCTGGTGTCACAAACAGGCCAGACCAGGTAAGGACAGCAGATTTCCTTCTTTAAAGGACATTAGTGAACGAGATGTGTTTTTATGACAATGGTTTCACAGTCATCAAGAGACTATTTGCCAAGGTAGGATTTGAACCCATGTACCTAGATCATTACCTGGATCTCTGAATTACAAGTCCAGTGACAATAACACTATGCTATCACCAAGCTAAATGTAAACTTTGTATTAGGATTAACTTTGTAACAATATACATTAAGTCTGGAACCTCATAATCATGTAAACTTTTATCACTAAAGACCATGTAGCGCCTGAATGCAGAAGGATATCGCACAATCTCACCTTTTATACAGTTTATGATCCATTTAGACTTTATGCACACTGTGTAAATGTTTAAGGACTATCTACTTTTATTTATATATATTAGTATTTTGTTATCTTTTGTCTTCATTTTATATAGGTTGGAAGCAACTTTTCTATTATATCCTTTAAAAGAAAATTACACATTACAAGCATCCGCAACTACAAAGAGGAAAAGTATTATCTGACAAATGGCCTCTAAAAAGATTTAATGAAGAACTTGCATCAATTAAGCAAGACAGACTCAACAAACCCAGAGTATCAGACATACTTTTAAAGAGAGGTTGATTAGAGTGTAGGACAGACATGTCCCTGTGAAAATGAGGGATAGAAAGGGCAAGATTAGGGAACCATGGATGACAGGTGAAATTGTGAGACTAGCAAAGAGGAAAAAGGAAGCATACACAAGGTCCAGGCGACTGAAAACAGACGAAGCTTTGGAAGAATATCGGGAAAGTAGGACCAATCTGAAATGAGGAATTAAGAGGGCTAAAAGGGGTCATGAAATATCTTTAGTAAACAGGGTTAAGCCTTTTATTCATACATAAGGAGCAAGAAGGTAACTAGAGAAAGGGTTGGCCCACTCAAGGACAAAGGAGGGAAGTTATACGAGGAATCGGAGAAAATGAGTGAGATTCTTAATGAGTACTTTGCGTCAGTATTCACTGAGGAGAGGGACATGACGGATGTTGAGGTTAGGGATAGATGTTTGATTACTCTAGGTCAAATCGGCATAAGGAGGGGGGAAGTGTTGGGTATTCTAAAAGGCATTAGGGTGGACAAGTCCCCAGTCCAGATGGGATCTATCCGAGGTTACTGAGGGAAGCGAGAGAGGAAATAGCTGGGGCCTTAACAGATATCTTTGCAGCATCCTTGAGCATGGGTGAGGTCCCGGAGGACTGGAGAATTGCTAATGTTGTCCCCTTGTTTAAGGAGGGTAGCAAGGATAATCCAGGTAATTATAGACCGGTGAGCCTGACGTCAGTGGTGGGGAAGCTGCTGGAGAAGATACTGAGGGATAGGATCTGAGATAACAAGGTGTAGAGCTGGATGAACACAGCAGGCCAAGCAGCATCAGAGGAGCAGGAAGGCTGACGTTTTGGGCCTAGACCCTTCTTCAGTAAATCTACACCTTGTTATCTCAGATTGTCTAGCATCTGCAGTTCCTACTGTCTCTGAGGGATAGAATCTATTTACATTTGGAAGAAAATGGGCTTAATCGTGATAGGCAGCATGGTTTTGTGCGGGGAAGGTCATGTCTTACCAACTTGATAGAATTCTTTGACGAAGTGACAAAGTTGATAGATGAGGGATGGGCTGCGGATGTCATATACATGGACTTCAGTAAGGCATTTGATAAGGTTCCCCATGGTAGGCTGATGGAGAAAGTGAAATTGCATGGAGTCCAGGGTGTACTAGCTAGATGGATAGAGAACTGGCTGGGCAACAGGAGACAGAGAGTTGTAGTGGAAGGGAATTTCTCAAAATGGAGAACTGTAACCAGTGGTGTTCCACAGGGATCCGTGTTGGGACCACTGTTGTTTGTGATATACGTATATGATCTGGAGGAAGGTATAGATGGTCTGATTAGCAAGTTTGCAGATGACACTAAGATTGGTGGAGTAGCAGGTAGTAAAGGGGACTGTCAGAGAATGCAGCAGAATATAACTAGATTGGAGAGTTGGGCAGAGAAATGACAGATGGAGTTCAATCCAGGCAAATGCGAGGTGATGCATTTTGGAAGATCCAATTCAAGAGCGAACTATACGGTAAATGGAAAAGCCCTGGGGAAAATTGATGCACAGAGAGATCTGGGTGTTCAGGTCCATTGTACCCTGAAGGTGGCAACGTAGGTCGATAGAGTGGTCAAGAAGGCATATGGCATGCTTTCATTCATCGGACGGGTTATTGAGTACAAGAGTTGGCAGGTCATGTTACAGTTGTATAGGATCTTGGTTCGACCACATTTGGAATACTGCGTACAGTTTTGGTTGCCACGTTACCAAAAGGATGTGGATGCTTTGGAGAGGGTGCAGAGGAGGTTCACCAGGATTTGTCTGGTATGGAGGGCGCTAGCTATGAAGAGAGGTTGAGTAGATTAGGATTATTTACATTAGAAAGATGGAGGTTGAGGGGGGACCTGATTGAGGTCTACAAAATCATGAGAGGTATAGACAGGGTGGATAGCAAGAAGCTTTTTCCCAGAGTGGGGGACTCAATTACTCGGGGTCACAATTTCAAGGTGAGAGGGGAAAAGTTTAAGGGAGATATGCGTGGAAAGTTCTTTACACAGAGGGTGGTGGGTGCCTGGAACTCGTTGACAGCGGAGGTGGTAGAGGCAGGCACGATAGCGTCATTTAAGATGTATCTAGACAGATACATGAATGGGCAGTGAGCAGAGGGATACAGATCCTTGGAAAAGAGGCGACAGGTTTAGATAGAGGATCTGGATCGGGGCAGGCTTGGAGGGCCGAAGGGCCTGTTCCTGTGCTGTAATTTTGTTTGTTCTTTTGTTCTTTATACATTCCCCTAAGCTAAAGAAATGGGCAAGGAAAGAATGACAAAATGCCATTTCGTCTTAGCAAATGAGTCTTAAATTAACAGAGACCAACTAAAATTGGAAGGATGGTCCTGTGAATAATTGCCATATTAATAAATCAATCTGAAGTTAATGAGGAAGTGACATCATTTGACGACCATCACCCTTCAAGGTCTAATCACAGTACTCCTTCAGTCAATTAGAAATGAGTCTTGCTTCATCTGGGGCAATCAAAACATAATGGCAGGATTGATCACGCTGAGCTTGTGACTTGGACAGAGTTAATTATCAGTAGTGAAGGTGAGCATACCAATTTGAAACTTTAGTTTGCAGAGCTTGCTGTTAAGCCTGAAGCAGAAGGCCCCAGTGGTGTTAGAGACAGACCAGAAACCATGTTTCACCTTGCGCACAGTAAGCCACATGCGTGTAAAGTCGCTACCCTGCTTTGACAAATATTACTTTATAACTAAATTAAAATTTTCTGCTTGCCAGACTGACTCCTATTTCCTGAACACTTAACGTCTCAAAAAACAAATAAATATTTTGGTATGAATTTAAATTTTAGCCTAAAATTTAGAGAGATGCTAAAGCAGACTCATGAAAGCCACCAAGAAAATGAATCACACCAGAGGAAGGCAAGAGATGTGCCCTACAGGCCAAACATGAGCCCAGAAATCAAGGCTGTGGAAAAGAGGCATTGCCTTCCTCAATGGTTCTGTAGTATGACAGCACTGCGAGACTGGATGAATGGTTTGCATTTCTCAAAGAGCCCTGATTCAAATCTCCTGTCAGAACTACTGTGCTCCTTCATTTTGTGCAAAAAGGGGGTGAGGTGACAATCTGCACAAATTAGCCACTTCCTGGAAAATTTGGCTCTGCACATGCAATGCATACATAATGACGGACGATAATAACAAACTTCTAATGCATGAGAACAGTTATGCACATATTGGGTAACTTGGGTAACTCAAAATGTACATGATAATGCATAAATACATTTTTTAATCCACATAACTGAAGTACCTCATTCCTGGAACAATCTTGGAACGTATCTTTTCTACATCCTCTCTATAGTCTAAATGTGCTAAAATGTGCTGCCCAGAATTGGGGACAATGGGCAGAATCTGGTTGAGACTTGGGGTCTTGTCTGCTGGCTGAAAGGCCAATGAGAAACCTGTATTGCCACTTTTTGGAAACAAGCCAGTCAGACAGTAGCGAGGCCATCAATAGACCTTTCCCTGGAATCCAAACCTAAAAATGGAGGACTCACCTAAACGTCTGCTGGCCAAATAAAGGCTGCCTCCAATTGTTCAGAAAGTAGGTGATTGGAGAGATGGCAAATTGAGGTGTCCATTAGGTATCCAATAATTGGCAATTTAAGGGGCATAATTTCTGGTGAGTTGAGATTTTTGCCAACCGACCTTCTCAGGCAGCAATTGCTGAGGTGGTGAGAAGGATGTGAATTTTGCTCCAGGGGAAACTCATCCAATTATTTCCCCAACTTACTACCTTTCTTGTCACATCCAGGGAGGGGATATTCTGCACAATGTTATGTCACCAAAGAAAATAAAATCTTTTTGTCCTATTTGAAAATTCTGTTTCTTACAAATAAAATATGGGTCAATTGGTTTAGTGGCTGGCCTGTGAAGCAGAATGATGACAATGGTGCTAGTTCAATTGCCATGCTGGCTGTGGTAGTTCAAGGTGATCTTCCCCCTCATATTATCTGACTTGGTCAACTGGGCCCTCAAGTTATACACAGTATAACCAAGGAGAAAGACACCTGTGATCGTTTGTGAACGATCGCCAGTTTTGTAGAAAAGGTGATCACATAAATCACTGCAGAGGTTCAGTAAAACTTTTACAGCCACATGTCTGTACAGTTGACTAAATGATAATCAAATTTATTGGATAAAAAGCTGCTTTAATTTTAATAATTGCTCTTACATTATATAAACCTAAAACTCATAGTCATACTGCGCTATTGTTCACGCCATGTCCTTCCTAAATATAAACTATATCACCACACTGGAAAATTATCCAGGGTTAGCAATGGGTAACTAGAGCAGATGAACCTTTTGCCTTGATCAACATGTTGCAAAGTTCTGTCAAAGTAGAAGATCCAAGCTTCCATCTGTAACATGATGTCGATAATATTCATAGGTTTTTTTGAAGCAAAAGATAAAGTTATGAATCACCCAGGAAATTGAAGTCTTTGGTACAGTACATCATTAAGTTTTAAAAATGTTTATACATAAAACTTTCTTTACAACTAAGGTCATAACAGCTGGAAATAGCTTATACATTTCTAACACAAATGCAAAATACTTACTTTAAGTGATCCTTCTCGAATGAAAGATCCATTACTTTTCTCATCTTCTTCTTCAATTTCTGATTTAGTTGGTCGCCTTGAAACACTCGCTTGTAAAAATAAGAAATTACATTACCGTATAAGACACGCCTTACAATTAAGAAGAAAAAAACTTTATAAATTTAATTTTCAGGATGTCCCAAATGCTTCAAAACCAATTACGTTTGAAGTACAGTTATAACTGTGGTTGTCACGTGGGTAAATGAGATCGCGAATTTGCTGTTAGCAAGACCAATGAATGAACAAATTTCTTTTTGTTGTTGGAGGAGTTTTTGACTAGGATAACAAAAAATCTCCCTGTTCTTCGACATTAACTATCTGATCCTTTACATCCATCTTTCATTGTGGACCCTGCTACATTTTGTTAGAAGAGAAAAACAGTGCAGTTGCCACCTTGTGTAAATGCATTGAGTTTTGAACACACAACTTTCTCATTCACTCCTAACTAAGCCAAACAGATAATAGAAATGTAGGCAGATAAGGCACACGTATTAGGACCTAATTAAGAAATGGTTAGAAAATCATTTATCAAGTGCCTATTCATGATCGTGGCAAGCAAAGTTCTCTCCTGGAAGGACAAATTAAATGCATTAAAAATATAATTGGGTATCGAGAACATGAGATTGACATTATACAATATCCTTGCCATGTCTGCACAATTTTCTATTATCATTTTCAACAGGAAGTAGAACATTTGTCCCCTCATTTTGGGACATACTTTTTAAATGAGACAATAATAGTGTAGTTAAGTCATATGGTTCATTTTTCTGTTCTTTATACTCATCAATAATCATGCCAATAAATAGTGGGCATTTTGTGTTGTTAGGTTCTGGGAAAAGGCATAAATAAATTTAGAAACAGTCAAAAAAATCACCAAAAGATCATATGATTGGACCTACTGAGGTCAGCACCTCAAATATTCTCTAAATGCAAAGGTCAGGAATAAAGGAATGGAGTCCTGCGGGTGTCTACTTCCCTTATATTGCCTCTGGATTTCTGAAAATTCTAACAGAGGTTGAATAGGCCTGCTTGCAATTGGGTGCTTTCCTAAGAATGTTATGATAATGAGGTGAGATGCTATGTTATTATTGTTCATGTCTCAATGCTCTGTGGTTTTGTTCAGGAGTACTGCTGTAGGTTTGTGTCTAGATTGAACCCATAGAATCATAGAACACCTACAGTGTAGAAGAAAGTCATTCAACACTCGGAAGAGTACCCTACCCAGAACCAGACCCCTACCCTATCACCCTATATTGCCCATGGCTCATCCACCTAACCTGCACATGCCTGGATACTGTGGGCAATTTAGTATGGCCAATCCACATAACCTATACATCTTTGGACTGTGGGAGGATACCAGAACACCTGGAGGAAACCCACACAGACATGGGGAGAATGTGCAAACTCCACACAGACAGTTGTCTGAAGGTGGAATCAAACCCAGATCCCTGGCACTGTGAGGTAGCAGTGGTAATCACAGAGTCACTGTGCCGCTCCAGATCAGATCCTTCCAGCTGATGTTGTTCAATAATGTCCACAGGGTTTGTAGGCCTGCTAGGAGGTGGACCAACATAGTATATATGGCTAGGCACAATAGGTCCTTATGTGCTAAATTTGGACATATAAGAGCTTGGACAGATTAAAAAAAAAAATGTGTATGGTGTATTTCATGGTCTTTAGAAAGATGTTTAATAACCAGTTACTGTTGTAATGCAGAAAATATGGTTCCCACTTGTGGAAAGTTAAGGATACCCAAATAGTCATGCAATAACAGAAATACAGGAAATAGGAGCAAGAATAAGACATTTGGCCCTTGAGCTTGCTCTATCATTCAACTAGATCATGGCTGATCTCCTATCTCAACACCCATTGTCGCACACTATGGCATTAGGAATGCTACAATTGTGTCCAGGTTGCCATTTGTTCATCCCCATGTTCCCTGATCCCATGAAAGTTGAACTCATGATGCTGGTTTGACATCTCATCTAAAGGATGCCACCTTCTGTAGTGCAGCACTCATTCAGAGCTGCAGTGGTGTGTTATGCTAGAATAAGTGCTCAAGATTCTGGATTATGACTTGAATACATGATTTCCAAATGAGAGTTAGCCATGTTTGTGTTAAGGAAGCTTTTTGCCTGAATGGCAACAGAATGAAGAAACAGGTACAAAGTGCACTGTGTTACTTCCTAAGTATACAGGGGTTCGATTAGCTCAGTTGGCTGGATGGTTGGCCTGCAAGGCAGATTAGCTCTATGGTCTGATATGGTCCTATGGTCTTCTGGGGCTATGGTGACTTTACCTTTTTTATTTCCTAAGGATTAATGTTAAAGAAGCATGTGCTAGGAACAATGAGTGTTAGCAGCAGGCATTCTCAATTATATTCATGGAAGGTGAGGTTGCCCCTTCTTCTTTCTGGGATGAATGGCAATTCATGGAGTGCGCTTCCAATGACCCTGAACTATTTTCTTGAAAACCTTACCCTGTTTATTCCAAAGAGTGCCTCCTACCTCTACTTAACTTATGTACTAGCACTTCCACATTGGAATTTGCAAAATGGCAGCTAGGTGTCCTGAATCAGCCTTTTAGATATCTCTTTAGGCAGTTACCTTTTGTGCAGCCAAAAGTATTGTAAAATTGCCTTACCCTTGAAACAGTACACTAGGTGCCAATGAGAGGAATTTTGTTCTGAGAACTCCAGATTACTGAAAATTATATGCTTAAAAATTGTCCTGCATTCATACTCTTGCTGTTGAACCTTTATCACTATGTTTCCAATATTAACATATCAGCGTACTGAAATTACCTTAATATTTTGATCCATATATTTCCAATAGATAATGAACACCTAGTGTTCCTACCTTTAAGCTAATTGCATTTTAGCAGTAAAAATTTGAAACTGTCAGATTGGTTACATACTGTGTGGTTTATTTGCAGGAGCAGACTTTCCCTTTTTCTGTTTGTCAGAATCTGATGATATGGATTCTGGAAACATTTCAGATGGAGGCTTGTGCAATTTCTCAGGCTCCAGTTCTTTTGCTGCCAATTCAGCTTGGTATTTAACTTCCTCTGCATCTACCCAGTCTGAAATTGTGTAGGCAACATGTTCCAAGTAATTTCTGTGGAGGATGGTATCAGATATACACAATTATAAATTCTTTCTTTATCTAGAAACATAAAGGAAATGTTTTAAAGTTATTTGAAACTTTAGTCCGTTCAATATAGCTTGCAAAAGATCGCATTTTTGAATCTGAAGACAAAAGAGCAGCAATTCCAGTGTTGTTAGTGGTGTAGAAATGGAATACAGATTTCCACCCAACTATCTATGTATCATTTCTGTCTGAACTTCCCCAGAATATACTGGTAATCTCTCCCTTGGAATGTGGGAAGAGATGGAGAGACTGCATCCCATTACTGAAACTACACAGGTATATAAAAAATAAAATCTGAAAGAACTGCAGATGCTGTAAATCAGGAACAAATACAGAAGGTGCTGGAAGAGCTCAGCAGGTCTGGCAGCATCTGTGAAGAAAAATCAGAGTTAACGTTTCGGGTCCAGTGACCCTTCCTCAGAACGGTTTTGAGGAAGGGTCACCAGGTCCGAAACGTTAGCTCTGATTTTTCTTCACAGATGCTGCCAGACCTGCTGAGCTTTTCTAGCAACTTCTATTTTTGTTCCAGGCATATAAAAATCTGTGACAGCCTCTTATAATGAAGCAGGGTCAGTAACAGTGCATTCAAGGTCAAGTGCCGATTATTACATCTCAGAGAACTCTGAACCAAACATGTCGATTGTATAATGCAGAATAAAAAGTCCTGGGTATATGACAGCTATGCCAAGCGAGTTGTCCTTTGGTGTTCTAAAATTTCCTTTTCAATGCAGACTCAATGCAACGTATTCATATAACCTGTACACCTTACTGCCTTATATTTAATGCCTTTTTTTTGCTACTGCACTTATTTTCTGATAAAGTCCTCATACAAATAACATATCAACACAAGCATGACATACACACATGTCTCTATCTTGTGGTGAGGTGACCCATAATCTCCAGAATTGTTACGGAAGTATTGACATGTTTTCGTGGAGCACGGATAAAAATTTGAAATGTGGAAGCCTGGTTTAAACCTAGTCGGACTTTGCAATTTACAAACTACAGAGCTGGAACGGACAGTATTCATGCTGCCAGGCCTTGGACAATCAACTTCCTGTCGAATGGCCACATTGTTTCAGAACAAACTGTTGTTTACACTGCCAGTAAACCTGATTTTTTAGGAAAATGCTACACAGTCTTGGTAACACACAGATCAGTAGGAGGCCAGAGGCATAGTGTGACAACGACAGCACTTGATGGTTGAGGATTAAACTGTATTCGGTGACCAAATTTGGAAAGTAGTCACTCCATTGGATCTTCCCGGCCCTACCCGATGCTAGTATTGGACGCAGGCCACAGAATCTTCAAGAAGGGCATGAAGAGGGGGATAAATGGGCAACTTGAAGCCAGCTCTTTGCTTTTTGCTTGTACTTCAACAGTGTCTCCAAAGAGCACCTGCGAACGGCAGCTGAAGTGCACAGCATCTCCAGCTCTTTGTACCTCATGTTGACCTTAGATGAGAGGAGAATTGATGACTGCAGATCTTGAAACATCAGTCAACCTTCAAACACAGAGGAACAGCATGTCCCAGCCTTATTGAACGGGTACTACCAATCCTTTCAGACGAACAGTACAAATACAGTGGTAGGCACTTGTGGATAGGGTGTAATGAATCCTTGGAAGCGCGTCAGAAGTAGATAGCAAGTGTAGATTCAAGACTGTTTACTGAAGAATCCTGTGAGATATTGATAGAGTTTGATCGTGTTTAATGACAGTACTATGTAGAGTCTGATAAATACTGTTTTTCCTTGATAAAGTGTTCAATAAAGTTGTGTTGGACCTTCCCTTGACTCTTGTCCCCTTTGTCTATCTTACCGTATAATGTGCCTGAGTTAAAAAGGGCTACTGTAATTTGGCCAAGGTTAGTCAGGGTAGATTTAGCCACCTTGCACTTTACAACAATTTGTAAGCTTTATTAATTTACAAAATCTTAGCAATGTTTATTGGTTGGAGACCAACTTGACTCATAACAGAAGTTAGCAAATCTAGGCCAGAGAAAGCACCAATAAACAGACATAATTTACACTTTATGAAGAAGTCATTACAGAGGTCATCAAATCACAAGCAGATAATGTGTCTGAAGTTGGCAGCCTCTAAACTGAAGGTTATTTTGTGTTTCATTTGTTCTATCCTTTACAACTTACACAGCCACTTATTGTCAGAGATATACACTTAAGCAGACAAGTGTACAACACAGTGCAATACACATAAGCACTGTTTAACGAAAGGTCATGAAAGATGTATTGCCACCTATTTTTTCTGTAGACATGTCAATAAAGCACATCACTTTGTGCTTCAAGTATGTTGCTTCCTGCAATATGCCATTCCATTCTCCCGGTTTCACAGTTTTCATCAAATCTGTTCTAATGACATCAAGTTTCACAGAGTGCCTCTGATATGTTCTATTTATCCCCTCAGTCGAGAATTCATCTTACCATGTTGTTTAGTTGCCTCTGTTCTCAGCAGAGCTGACCCTATTTGCCCTACCATTCATACATATTCGTCATCTATATCTCTCCTTTACCACTAATAGCACTTGCTTTGGTTTTTGCTTTAGGCACCGTCACGATCTGTTCCATGATCTGCCTTTATCAGCAGCATAAAAAAACCATATGTTTCGCATCCCTTTTAATCCTGAGGAGAGTCTTTGGACTCGAAACATTAACACTGTTATTCTCTCCACAGATGCTGACAGACCTGCTGGGTTTCTCAAGCACTTTCTGTTTTTATTTCAGATTTCCAGCATTTCCAATATTTTGCTTTTACTTCAAAAGTTATCCTGGTGTCCTGGCCAATATCTGTACCTCAATCACTATCATGAGAACAGACAATGCTAATCACATTCACAAATGTTGATAGAATGAAGATGTCAGTCTGTGATGCTGATACCACCAAAGCAGAAGAAGAAACTAATACTTTCCAGCAGTCTATGTCACTTATTTCACATATTGCAATCAACAGCAAAGGTATTAGTTTAAAACATTGATTCCATTTAAAAACTGACTCCCATAGTGACCTTGATTACAAACCCTCACATTCTGCCTCCAGTAATGATTCCTTTTCATTCTCTCAGCATCTGTCACACTTATTCTGATAATGCCACAATTCTCATGGGTAATCAGAAATATCTACCACTTTCCTCAACTGAGGATTCCCCATCACTGTGGTTGACAGAGCCCTCTGCTACTTTTCCAACCATTTCCCATACTTCTGCCCTCACCTACTCCCTCCCACAGCAACAACACGGTTATAGAATCTGTGGTTATCTTTAAAATGCTTCCAAAGTTGAAAGGTCTGAAAAATACCACCAACATTAGTAATGCCACTGAATTGTAATTTAGTTCTCTTAAGTTTAAAAAATATATAAGTTTTAAAACTTAAGTGAAAAGCTTAAAGCTATATATTAATAATAAAAGACATACGCTATCCAAAATTTTGCTTAACACACCATTGGCCTGAGAAATTTCAATAACCAGCCATTTTCACGTAAATGGACAATCAGATTTTTAGGAGTACACACCTGAACCCAACATTGGAGTGAAGGGCAGTTTCCCAGGATTCATTACACTGGCGCTTTTTATTCATGGGGTTATGTAAGACCAATAGTAGAGAGTTGTCCTGTTTGTAGTAGTATGTATCCAAGCACCTATAAAATGGGGCAGCTTCCTGAAGAACCTGAAATGTACATACATCACACTTACATTGATAAAAATGAAAACATCGGCTGTAATCTTCTTTACTGACGATCCAAATTCGAACAATTTGCTCTATTTTTAAATACATCATCATACTTAGAGCTGACCATCTACCTGCAGGTGAATGCGGCACTCTTTCCAAATGTAACTATGGTCCAGATTTTCCACTAGCTAGACAGTCGTTATACCAGCAAAGGTGGGAGTTGCACATGGTGAATCCCCATTGTAGTCCACTCTGAAGGAATTGCCTGGGAAACTGAATTTTCCACTGGGCAATGACTCTATGCCTGTAATCTTCTGAAAGTCTCCATTTAAATTGGATAATTTGGATGTTTCTGATGAAATTGAAAAATTATAGTCTAATTCCTAAGCAAATGTTAAACAAACACCATGACTACCTCAGGCATCCTCAACTACAACTCCTCCAGGCTCTGTCATAAGAACATAACATTACATAAGAACCAGGGTCAGGAGTAGGTCATCCGGCATGTCAAGCCTGCTCCACCATTCAGCAAGATCTTTTTGTGGCCTCAGTTCCACTTACCCACCCTTTCACCATAACCTTAATTCCTTTACTGTTCAAAAAAAAATCTATCTTAGCTTTAAAAACGTTTAATGAGGAAGCCTCAATTACTTCACTGGACAGACAAGTCCACAGAGATTCACAACCCTTTGGGTGAAAACGTTCCACTTCAATTCATTCCTAAATCTGCTCCCCCTAATTTTGAGGCTATAACCTCTTGCTCCAGTTTCACTCACCAGTGGAAACATCCTCTCTGCTTCTATCTTATTTATTCTGTTCATAATTTTATATGTTTCTATAAGATCCCCCCTAATTCTTCTAAATTCCAATGAATATAATCTCAGTTTACTCAGTCTGTCCTCATTGGCCAACCTTTTCAACTCCAGAATCAACCTAATGAATCTCCTCTGCACCTCCCCCAGTGCCAGTACATCCTTTCTCAAGTAAGGAGAACAAAACTGCATGCAGTATTCCAGGAGTGACCTCACCAGCACCCTATACAGCTGCAACATAACCTCCGTGCTTTTAAACTCAATCCCTCTAGCAATGAAGGACAAAATTCTATTTGCCTTCTTAATTACCTGTTGTACCTGCAAACCAACCTTCTGCGATTCATGCACAAGGACACCCAGGTCTCTTTGCATAGTAGCACGCTGCAATTTTTTACTATTCAAATAATAGTTTTTTTTAATGTTATTCCTATCAAAATGGATGACTCCACATTTATCAACATTGTAGTCTGTCTGCTAGATCTTTGCCCATTCACTTAAACTATGTATATCCCTCTGCAAACTTTCAGAGTCCTCTGCATACTTTGCTCTACCACTCATCTTAGTGTCATTTGCAAACTTTGACACACTACACATAGTCCCCCACTCCAAATCATCCATGTAAATTGTAAACAATTCTGGTCCCAACACTGATCCCTGAGGCACACCATCAGTCACTGATCACCAACCAGAAAAGCACTCATTTATCCCCACCCTTTGCTTTCTGTTAGTTAACCAATCCTCTACCCATGCTAATACATTGCTCAGAGGCTCGGAGACCACTTTGTAGAGCACCTGTGCTCTGTTCGTGACAAACGACAACACCTTCCAGTTGCGAACCATTTCAACTCCCCTTCCCACTCCCTGGGTGACATGTCCATCCTGGGCCTCCTCCAGTGTCACAATGACGCCACCCAGTAATGGGAGAAGCAGCACCTCATATTCCGCCTTGGGAGCCTACAACTCAATGGTCTCAATGTGGACTTTACCAGTTTTAAAATCTCCCCATCCTCCTGGCCTCATCCCATGACCAACCCTCCCTCTTATCCCTGCCTCCTTGACCTGATACAAACTGACACAACCTGTCCATCTTCTCTCCCACCTACCCGCTCCTCCCACCTCAGTGACCAATCCCCACCATTGCCTACCTGCACTCACCTATCACCATCCCATCTACCTTGCCCACCTGCCTATCCACACTACCTCCCCCTCCTCTCTCTACTTATTTCAGAGTTCCCTTTCCCCTCCCCCATTTCTGAAGAAGGGTCCCAACCCGAAACGTCAACTTTCCTGCTCCTCTGATGCTGCCTGGCCCGCTGTGCTCCTTTAGCTCCACTCGGTGTTATCTCTGACTCCAGCACTGGCAGTTATTACTATCTCACATTGGAAAGGTACCCTGTTTGTGCCATAATGACAGATATGCACAGTCTTGTAGTTCCAGCTCCATCTAATTTACTTTGCACATGTAAATGACGCCAAGTAAAACTGCATAAAATTTTATTGTTAAGATAATTTTAAAGTAATTCTCAGACTTTTTTCAAGAGAGGGATAGTTGGGTTACCTGTATCAAAACAAATGGATCATGCTGCTCAGCAAAACTCCATTCCATCAGCGATCGGAGCTGTAACTTTTGTATATATTTTATATCAATCTTTATGTTGTCAGCTTTATCCTAAAAGGAAAAGTACAGTTTTATTTTGTTCTTTAGGAGTATGAGAATAGAAAATATTTTTCTTTGCATGCAATTCAAAAATAACACAAACTAAACAGTGAAGAACAACAGTAACATATCTAAACTTGTTAATATGGGGAACAATTTAGTGATTTAGCTCTGCCAATGGAAATAGGTCGGGAGAATATCTTGGACAGTAGACTGCATGCATTGTGCTGGTCTATTTGAACTGCTGTGTTAGTTATGTAACATTTTCAGTTTGCATTATCATTTGTAATTTTACCTTTCCATCTTCAGCATCTGTTGAACCACATCTTCTGTTTTCCTTGTCAACTATTTCAGAAGTATCTTTAAAACGCACTGAAAATAAATTTAAGATCATAGTTGTAATTTTGGATAATATTCAGGGATAATTTCACAAATGTGCACTTCTGTTGAAGGGCTTCACCTGTCGGAATATACGCATATCAGAAATTCAGTGCAGTGCCCATGATTTTGAAATTTTCATTGCATAATATCCAATATGTGTTGTTTGTGGGTGAATGTTGCCCTGGTAGCATGGACTCAAGAATATTACTCAAAGTGCACCTTGTTTTTAATAAAAACAAATAAGCAACAAGGAACTTGAACTAAATTAGAACAGACGGTAAGGAAAGTCTGTGAAAATTGTACGTCTTCTACCCAAGGTGTGAATGAAGTCCAGGGACTCTAAATGAAGTCAATACTAAAACGTTGTTTAGAAAAGAACATGTTCTTCAAATTTACAGAATTCAGCTGGACAGTTTACAAAATCTATTATACTTTCATCCCTCCAGCATCTGAAAAACATTTTTTTGTTTGAAAAGACACTTTGGAACAATACTTTATTCACGTTCAGTTACCTACATAAATTCAGTCTAAAATGTTAACGTCTGGTACCTGCACAGGATCGTTCTATGCTGTTTTCTCCTGACAAGCTGTTTTCTTTTGACTTGTTACTATCAAACCCAAAAGGGTAACTTTCTTCACCATTTGAAAAGTTGGTGAATATATTCTCTGAAATGAAAAGAAGCATAATTCAGCTATTAAACACAAAACTTTAAATGATCTTTCTTTAAACAACATTCTCAAAAGGTGTAAAGCTTTATTTGGCAAGTTATCATGTAACATTCAAAGATATCATGACATAAAAATATTTTTCCCAAGTGTTTTAATTTCTAATATTTGGAAAGAATTTCAAAAATTCAGAACCTTTCGAGTAAAGAAATTTCTCCTCATTTCAGTCTAAAAGACTGGTCTCTTACCTGAAATTGTGTCCCTATGTTTGAGACTCCCCAGTTATGGGAAACAACCTCTCAGCATTTACCTCTCTAGCCAATTCATAATTTTGTATGCTTCAAGGAGATAATCTCATTCTTCCACACTCTAGAGAATTTGAACCAAATTTACTCAACATCTCGCCAAAGCAAAACTCTTTCATCCAAGGAACCTTGTGAATGCTTGCCATATTATCACCAATGGAAATTGTACCTTCCTTAATTATGTGACCAAAATTGCACACCTTACTCGAGATGTGACCTCACTAAACCTGGATGCAATTGTAGGAAGACTTCCTTACTCTTCTACACCAATTCCCTTGCAATTAAGGCGAACATGCCACTTGCTTTCTAATTGCTCTGTGTATCTGTATGCTGATCAGGTGTTCATTGCAGAGTAGAGCCAATTCCCTCTGAACAACTGTACTTACATGTATCTAGAAAAGTATTTTGCTTTTCTTTTCTTAATATTACAGTGAATAACCTTACTTCTTCCCACATTATAATCCATCATCCACTGGTTTTCCACTCGCTTAACTTGTCCATATTTCTTTGCAGCCTTTTTGTGTCCCCTTCATAGCTTGCAGTCCCACCTATATTTGTATTATTGCAAACTCAAAGACGATACTCTGTCTTTTGATCTTCCTCATTAATATAATTATAAATAACTGAGGTTCCTGTCCTGATAGCACTCAAAGCCTAAAAACTTATAAAAAGGCATTATTTATCTCAGTTTCCTGTCTGTTGGCCAATCCTTCATTCAATGAACCCTTATACTGCATAGTATCTTTTGTCTTGCAGCTTACCAAATGATTTTTGGAAATCCAATTATACTATGTCCAAATATATTAGTATGCTCACGACATTCAGTTTGGTTTATGCCAGGTGACCTCAGCATAGCCTTGGTTCAAACATGGACAGAAAGAGCTGAATTGCGTGAAAGTGACTGCCCTTGACATTAAGGCTGTTTATGACCCAGGTTTGGCATCAATCCCAGTCAATAGGAATCAGGAAGAAAACCCTCCGTTGTTTGGATTCATACCTAGCACAAAGCAAGATGGTCATGATTATTGGAGTCAGTCATTGCAGCTCCAGGACATCTCTGCAGGATTTCGTCAGGGTAATGTCCAAGGTCAAATCATCATCAACTGCTTTATTAATGACGTTCACTACATCAGAAGTAGGGATGTTCACTCATTGTGCAACAATGTTCAGCACCATTTGCAATTCCTCAGATACCAAAGCAGCCCATGTGCAAATGCAGCAAGATCTGGATTATATCCAAGCTTGGACTGAGAAGTGGCAAATAACATTTGCTTCATACAAGTGCCAGGCAATAACCAACTCCATTAAGAGAGAACCTAATCACACCCCACCTTGACATTCAATGGCATTTTCATAGCCGAATCCCCCCATGATCAAAATCTTAGGGGTTACCATTGACCAGAAGCTTAACTGAACTAGCTATATAATTATCATGGGGACAAATGGAAGTCAGAGGCTAGGAATCCTGCAGTAAGTAACTTACCTCCAAACTCTGCAAAGCCTGTCCACCATCTGCAAGGCACACGTTAGGTGTGTGATGGAATATTCTATACTTCTCTGGATGAGTGCAGCTTCAGCAGAACTGACACCATCCAGGACAAAGCAGCCTACTTGATTGGCACCACAACCACAAACATCCATTCTCTCCACCACCAAAGCACAGTGCCAGCAGTGTGCATCATCTACCAGACAAACTGTAGAAATTCCGCCAGGATCCTTAAACTGCCAAATCCATGCCTACTAAATCTAGAAGGACAAGGGCAGTAGATACACAGGAATATCACACCATCACCTGTAAGTTCACCTCCAAGCCACACATTGTTCAGACTTGGAAATATATCTCTGTGCCTTCACTGTTGTTGGGTCAAAATCCTGAAACTCCTTCCCTCAATGGTATTGTAGGTATATCTATGCCAAATGGATTGCAGTGGTTCAATAAAACTTCTTAAGATTTGCATACTTATTACTTTGTAAAGGGGCTAGGAATCCAGAATGCACAGTCTGGAAAGGGTAGTAGGGATGGGAAACTTCACAACCTTTTAAAGATACATGGACGAGCACTTGAAATTTCATAACATTTGGGCTATGGGTCAAGCATTAGAAAGTGGGCCTCATGTAGCTAGGTCAGCGCAGACTCTGAGTTGAAGGGCTTCTTCTATACTGTATGGTTTTATAGGGATAGGCAATGAATGCAGGCCCTGCCAGTGATAATTACATCCCATGAATGAATAAAGAAGCTATGACTAGAACTCACAAGTCCCTTTGCATTTCAGACTTCTGAATTTACTCCCCTTTTAGAAAATAGTTTTTATTTCATGCTTTTATTCTTCTTACCAAAGTGCATAACCTCACACTTTCCCACGGTGTACATCATCTGAAACTTCTTTGACCACACTCCTAACCTGTCTAAATCCTTCTGCAGCCTCCCCACCTCTACAATACTACCTGTCCCTCCACCTATCTTTGCATTGTCTGCAAACTTAGCCAGAATGCCCACAGTTCCTTCAACTAGTTCATTAATGTATAAAGTGAAAAGTTGTGATCCCAACACTGACCCTTGCGGAACACCACTTGCAACCGGCTGCCAACCTGAAAAAGACCCTTCTATCCCCACTCTCTGCTTTCTGCCAGACAGCCAATCTTCTATCCATGCTAGCACCTTGCCTCTAACACCATGGGCCCTTATCTTACTCAGCAGCCTCCTGTGTGGCACCTTGTCAAAGGCCTTCTTGAAGTCCAGGTAGATAACATCCTTTGGCTCTCCTTGGTCTACTCTGCTCGTTACTTCCTCAAAAAATTCTAGCAGATTTGTCAGGCATGACCTCCTCTTGATGAAACCATGCTGACTTTGCCCTATTTTACCATACACTTCCAAATATTCAGTAACCTTGCGCTTTACAATGGACTCCAAAATCTTACCCATGACCGAGGTTCGACTAATCGGCCTGTAATTTTCCATTTTTTGCCTTACTCCCTTTTTAAACAGGGGTGTCACTTTGGCGATTTTCCAGTCCTCTGGGACCCTCCCTGACTCAAGTGAAATATTAACTCTGCTTTCTCTACACAGTTGTTTGTTTTGCAGTTAGTTGTTTTGCGTATATTTTATGTTGTGTGTACTAGAACACTCAAATGTTCTCTGCTCTGCAGTTCAGAAGCCATTGAACTGAATGGACAAGATGGCCATCCATGAAAGCAACTTTTGGGGGGGGGTTGACTGCATTGAAGGTCTGTGATTCACTGGGTTATGATGCAGTGCAATAATCAAAAGTGTCCCAATAGGACAGTGGAATCTCCTTGTAATTGAGAATTATTTCACTTCAGACAACCATGTAAGCACTTAATGGAAGCTGAGCTTACAGTAAGCAAGAGAACAGTAACAGTGATTATATGTTTACTTTAGTGAATGGATTACATAGTTCTTAAACACCCATGCCAAAATGTGCCATCAAAAGTATTTCTTCTTCCTCTGCCTCCCATACCACTAGATGTGGCAAGGGCCTACAAATGGATGCCCTGGTGGCATTGTTTTCTTTTTCTTCTTTTCTTCATCTTTTTCCTGTCAGAGAAGGTGACATCTTGGAGGAGGGTGGCCAGAGCAGGACTCTGGGCAGGGAGGAGGCAGGGACTCCTGGGTGCGGTCACAGTAGGCCCGGAGCAGGGACTCCTAGTTATCAGCAAGGCAGTGGTGACAGCGGAGCCGGGGAACTCCTGGTTGCCACGTGAGTGAGAGTTCAGCCCGGGACCTGGTATTGGTGGCAGCATTGGCGAGGTGGGCCCAGTGGCGAAGAGAATGCATCAGAAGAATGGTGATTCCTATGTTGGTGGGTCTGGCGCAGGGGGAGGGCTGGTGGCGCAGTTATCATAGGTGAGCCAGCTCAGGACTCATGGTGGAGGCAGTGGAGTGAAGATAGACTCTCGTTCAATTATATATTTTTATTCTTTTTATTCTTAAACTATTCAAAATGATGCCAGATTTTGCAACAGTGGAAGCTTTTCACTGCATTTTACTGCACTATTCACTGTAATAAATCATTCAATTCAATTCAGTTCTCCTGGGAACATAAGACACTGGCAGAGGGGAGATGTAAGAGTAGGGCAATTCTGTCCTTAGATGTTGTTTCCAGGGTGTCCTTCTGTTGCTTCTCTTCCCTGTTGCAGCTAGCCTGCACCACTTCTGCCTCCTTGGGTGTAAGGGACACCTGGAGTCAGTCAAGTTGCCTTGCCCCTCTCTCACCTTGCTATAGATGATGTGCACATCATCTAAGCACAAGTCCAGTAGCCACTTAGCATACTGCTGGACCTGGGTCTCCAAGAAGGCCACCAACCCTTCCATGGAGGCAGCCAGGGGCTCGAATAATGAAGTGACTACAATAGACAGAAAACATACAGACTCTTCCATTTTTTGCTCCAGCTTAGTGAGGGCCTCCGACATTGTTGCCTGATATTCCGCTGCCTGTTCAGCAGGTCAGTTAAGGCACAGCACAGGAACACATTTCTGCACGAAGTTCAGCAGGTGCCAAGTTTCTGGCAGTCTTCAATGTTAGAGGCCTTGAGTATGTCTTTTTCATTGGCTGTTGACATATGTCAATAACGTGTTATCAGATTGTATCCCTGGGTCTAATCTAGCTACAGTATCACCAAGGTGACTGTCCTTGTGATGGTGGAAGGTTTAAGTGAATGACTTGTTAATGCATA